TTTAGGAACAACGTCAAATAGATTTTGAGAAAATTGATGATTATCCAGAAGCATTTCATGGTGCTGATGTACATTATTGTTGTTTAGGTACAACAAGAAGTAAATCTGGAGCAGTATGTATTGTATTGATTTCGATAATTTTTATAATAATTATTTATTTTCATTAGGAAGGTTTTCGACAAGTTGATTTTGATTTTATAGTCGGAGCGGGTCGACTTGCTAAACAAGAAGGTTGTAAACATTTTCATCTTGTATCAAGTCAAGGTGCTGACCCACATTCATTATTTCTTTATAATAAAGTCAAAGTATAAGTTTTTTCTTCTTTTTTGTTATTAAATTTAAATAGAAAATTTATTCATTTTATTTTAGGGTCAAACGGAAACCGCTTTAACTCAAATGTCATTTGAACGTTTATCAATTTATCGACCAGCGTATGTATATACAGGTCTTTTTTTCATTGAATACTATTTTTTTTTTTAAATATTTTAGAATGTTAATGGTGCATCGAACTGAAAACCGTCCATTGGAAAGTTTTGCACAAACAATTGTTCGTAATACTGTAGAACGGATAGCACCTGAATGGATTACGACACCTATTGAAGTTCTTGCACGAGCTATGTGTTTTAATTCCTTTACTAAAGATCATCCAAGTATTGAAATTCTTGATAATCATGCTATCTTTCGCCTTGCAGAACAACAACCACTTCAAACTAATGAACAACCACAAGCGACAAATGCATCTTAAATTTCCTTTTTTTTTCTCTTTCTTTTTTGTACTTTTTCTTTTTTGGTGTTGTTTGTTATTTCAATTTTGCTATCCATATATAAAGCGGATCAATGATTGATAATTATTAGAAACTAACCTGTGATATAAAAGTTCTTCAAAAAACAAAAGATAAGAAGCAAAGTTTGTTTTTCGCTTAACATGTAGTAAGAAAAAAAAAGTTCAAAATCAAGCATTGCCAAGAAAACTCTTGCAATTTCTGTTTTCTTTAAACATATCTCTTGCATTAAGTCTATTTTTTTCCCTGTAACAGACTACATTTGAAATTATATAACTAGAAAAATTAGATCATCTGACTTAAACAACAGTTTCCAGATGTTGAATAATTTTTCCTCTTATTTTTTTAAAACATGCTTTTTCAAACAGCATACAATTCTTTAGATGTTCAAATTAATTTTAACCTTTACTAATATGTTTAAGTCCTAAATAACGAATTTTTCTCACGGTTGTATCGGTTCCATGAAAAAATAGTGCTGTCTACCAAAATGTAAATGTATAATACATTTTATTTACTGTTAGATTTCTGAAGTATGAAAGTCGATAAAGTTTTTTAATTACTACCTTGTCATTTATTTGATTCTCAAGAAAACCTTTTTTTTTTTTGGAACTTCAGAAATAAAATAAAGAAAAAATTTCATTGCACGTGCTCTTTTGATAATGTTTGATATTGAATTTCTTTCTCACTCATAGATAATCATAAGAAAAATTATTTTTTCTGTTTTTTGGAGTTCGCACCTTGCCCTTGCAATTGGAAAAAGAATAAATTTTCTACGATACTCTCAAGCAAAGAATCATTGGTTGAAATTTGGCAATAACTTTTGCATCGTAGATTATAACATATCATTTTCCATTTGATTTTCAAAATCAATGAGAATGAAATTTCTAAAATACAAGGTGTTCCAAACGTCTCGAGAAAGAGAAAAAATGTGAATAGCTCTTCAGCAACTCAAAGAGCTTGAATATATTTTTTTACACTTTGATAACATTTATTTCAGAAAAAACGTTTATATCTACAGGAATCCAAATTCAAATAGTTTTACTCATGGCTAAATTTGAGTCAACTCAAATTCGGCAAAAAAAAACAAACCAACTGAATTCTATATTAAAACTACGTTTCAGCAATGTTGTGAAATTGATACTGTCGAACATCGATCACATTTCTGAAGACCATAGAAGAATTACTATGATTACTACAAACAACAACATATGAAATTATCACTGACCATCTCTTTTTAAAGCCATAGAAGGTACAATTTGTTCAACAGCTCTACGAAGAAGATTTATGTAGATCGAACACTTAATTTAGGCACATTTTTACAAGCGTCATTCACTTCATCGACTTATTCTTCCGTAATTACTCAACGTTCGTCGACTTTCGACGATATATATTTTACAAAATTCTGAAGTATGTTGCTAATGCAATGTTTAGTTGGAGTGTTTTTTTTTCATATTCACTTTGTGTTTACTGTTTTACCATGCCGATTTATTCAAATTTTATTCAGTATATAGCTATTCACGTTTTTTTTTCTCGAGCTTTAAGGACACCCTGAAGATTGAATAGAACACAATGAAAAAGCAGCTATAAAGCAAATAGGAGAAGAGATGTATTGAGTTCGTTTGAGACTATTATTAACTGAATATCGTGAATAAAAGAAAATAAGCATAATCTTTAATAAAGGTTTCTTGAAAATATTAGTCCTATATGACAATTTCAAACACTATATTTGTGATAATACATTGATTATAATGTATGTTTACAAAATAATACTTTTTCATCTTAGTACAATTCAAGAGTATACCATCATGTGACGGCACTTCTTATTAAATAATTTTCAGAATTATTCTAGCAAAATATATTTTGTTTTGAATGTGTCTTTTAGAATTCTAACTCATAGACGTTACAGTAGAGATAGAATTGTTCAAAGTATTTGTCTGTGTTGAATTAAAAGCGGTAGTGTATACAGATTTTTATTCTGATATTAGTAGATAACAGAGAACCTTGAAATAGTTTCGACAAATACTTTGTGAATGATGAATTTACACTTTGTGTTGATGAAAATATCTTCGTCCTATAAAAACATTCTTCATCAAACTTCATCAGCTTAGAAAATAAATGAAGAATACAAATTAATTAATTAAAGTATTAGTTATTCTTTTGTTTTCAATATAAATAAATTATAAAAAAAATTAGTTTATTAATTTCCATCATAAATGAAAAAGGAAATATTATTTGTAAGATGCTTTGCACATTATTCTATATTTATTATTGCATAATTTAAACTAAACACATTATCTTCTTTGACATAGAAGAATAAACTAAAGGATATATTCCCTAAGATAATGTAAAATATCTACTTTCTATGTTATTTATTTTATGATAAACTCTTATCAATGCGTGATGCAAAATTTTTGTATTTGATATTATGACGTAATAGAATATTTCAATATATCATCTTTTTCTTTTGGGTCAGAGAGAACAAAGTGTTCTGTATTAAAATATGTAAAGGAATTTAGTCGAAAACGTTTCTTGAAGACTAGAGAAATGTTGAACAAAAAGCATTGAAAAATTATTTTGGAATATTTTCGAGTTCAGAAACAAACTTTATATCTAACAGAAAAAAAAAATTATCATTTTATTCATTTATTTCCAGTTTACTAATCAAAGGATAAGGAATTATTGTAAAATACTTCATTATAATGAACAATTGCATAGATATATTTATTTGGTTCAGTAAAAATTCGAAAAAAGATAATGAAAAAGATCAAACAAATATATTTGAATTAAAAAATTGTAGTCTAAATAGGAGAAAACTTATTTAAATAATTTCGATAAAATTCTTCTACAGATTTTAATAATAGACACTGAGATGTTTCTACAAAACCGATCAAGTCTCTACTCCAATTTTATTGAAACACTGTATTATAAGCAAAATCAATGCAAAACTTTCGCATTACTCCTTAATTAATGTTATATTAGAGTGCTTAATTATTTTTTGTTTTATTGTTTTCGAGAAACAAACATGTTTTTTACATTAATTTTTTTATATGGGTTAGTTTTTATAATCAAAAACATAAGATCTGCAATGAAGAAATATCTCTTTTCCTAGTTTCTATTATAATGCGCAACAAACTATGTCAACTATTCTATTTGATACCTGCAATCTATTATGACTATTATTTTATTCGTATGAATGAAGTATTTATAAAAGCAAAATACAAGCTCGCTTTTACATTAATAGCATACAATCCATCACTTTCTATTATACTCACAACTTCGATCGTTTCATGAAGAGTGCAGTGAATAATGGGAGCCCATTAAAGCACAAAAATCGTGCTATTAACTTAACCAAGAAAAAAGAAAACACGTGCGCTATATATAGTCTCTTTATTTGATTTGGCTTTTGCCAGTTTTAATTCTGATTTTTGAAGATTGTTTTCAATAGACGAAGCAAAATATTTCACGTTATTAAGTTGATTATCGAAGGACACAGAATCCTATGAATTTTTTCAATAAAGCGCTTCTGAAATAATCGATGATGTAAAATAAGAATTTTCAAAACTGAGTCTTTTTAGTAAAAATATTTCAACTAATATCATAAATTTCTTTTTTATCACTTCTTGTTTGTAGAAATTTTTTCATTCAATAGAATCAATATTGAAAAACTACACATATAGTTTACGTCCAACTAAAAATAGAATATGTATGACTTGCAGTGTCTGCGTTAAAATACTAACATCTTATTGGTGATGTCTGATGTAATAACCTCGAAATTTTTAATCATTTATTAAAATATTTTCCGAAATTGATTCAAAAATTTTGCTATAACACGTCTTATATTTCGAACTTGTTTATCTGCTAGAAGGTTTACTATTCCAAGTACTTACAGATAAGTTTCGGAATTATGTTCAATAATTATAAATTTCATTTGGTATCAAAGTCGTTTGTATTTTCATCTTTAGAAATGTATTCACTGAGTAATAAGATATTCTAACAATCATTTTGTATATAATAATAAGACATTCTCATGCGATATGTATTAGTCGTTTTATATTAATAATAGGAATATGTGAAAAATAAAAAGACTACTTTTTGTTATTCGAGACAAGGTCGTTCAAGTTGTAAAGAAACTTTTCTTTTTTTGTTTTTGTTCTCCATCTGTTGCAGTTCTTGTTAAAAAGAACAAAAAAAAAGTAAAACTTTGCTTATCATCAACAGATGACACAACTTGACGACCATAGAACACAGTCTTTACTTGGAATGGTGAAATCGTTGGTGACCATATATTTCTATATGAATCATTAAAATATTGATTCATTCATAAATGACAAAATAATTGTTTAAAAAAAAAGAAAAAAGAAACATTTTTTTTGTTTTATAATTCTTATATTATATTGTATATTGACATATTTTAGAAAATGATTGTTTTTCTACTAGCTATTTTGATTTCACTTATATTGATTATTTATATTGCTTATAAAACTCGATGGATATATACACTCATATATCAGGTTTCGAATTTAGATTAAAAAAAAAGAACATAAAATGTATATTCATTAATTTATTTTAGGTTGATGAAGAATCAACAGCATATGGTGGTGAACTTGTTGCTGATGTTCTTAAAGTAGACAAGTGATTGATATGAATTTATTGTAATAATAATTTTTTTTCTTTATTACTAGGCTCATGGAATTCCTTATCTATTTTGTTTATCCGGTGGTCATATATCACCAATTTTAGTTGCTTGTGAAAAACATGGCATTCGTATTATTGATACTCGTCATGAAGCAAATGCTGCATTTGCGGGTAAAAATTGTCAACATAGAAAATTGCAAAAAAAAGATCAATAAATAAAAAGATGTTCTTGTTTTTTGTTTCTTTGTTAAGCTGATGCAGTTTCTCGTTTAAGTGGTAAAATTGGTGTTTGTGTTGTTACTGCTGGACCCGGTAAATAGATTTTTATTTTGCTCTTCATAAGAAAAAAAACAATCTAAATAATCGATGTTATTTGTTTGTTTTTCTTTGAAGGTTTAACAAATACTGTAACAGCAATAAAAAATGCTCAAATGGCTGAAAGTCCATTATTATTAATTGGTGGTTGTGCAGCTAATTTATCTAAAGGACGTGGTGCATTACAAGATATTGATCATATGTCTGTGTTCAAATCAATATGTAAATATACAGTTAGTGTTAAACGTGTTCGTCAAATTCCAAATCTACTTCGAAAAGCTATTTGTATTGCACAATCAGGAACACCAGGTAAATAAAATTTAATAATAAAAATAAAATAATTGAAGATTTGTGTTTCTTTTTAGGACCAGTATTTGTGGAATTTCCAATAGATGTTTTATATCCATTTTATTTAGTTGAAAATGAACTTGGAATAAAACCAAATCCAAGAGCATTAGCTGATAAAATAGCAAATTTGTTCGTAGAAAATAAAATGATGAAGTATTTAATGAAGATTATGAATTTATATTATTTCTAGATATTTATCAACATATATACGTGGAACATTTGCTGGAGCTTTTGATGAACAAATACTTACACCAATACGACCACAAATACCTTATGCATTAAAACAATCGAGTAATGATTAATTCTTTTGAAACATTTCATTAATCTTTTCATGTTTTTTAAGTTCAAAAAGCTGCTCAACTTGTTCAAAAAGCAAAATCTCCAGTTTGTTTATTAGGTAGTCAAAGTACTCTTCCACCAACATCAACAAGTGATCTTGTTGAAGCACTTGAAGTAATTTGATTTTTATAGATAATGTTTAAAATTCTTTTTCAACTTATATTATAGTCAATGAATATTCCATGTTTTCTTGGTGGAATGGCACGAGGTTTACTTGGTAGAAATAGTTCAATACAATTTCGTCATTGTCGTAAAGATGCATTAAAAGAAGCTGATGTTGTTCTTTTAATAGGTTAGTATTTTAAGAGTACTTCTCACTGTTTTTACTGACTACCTCTAATTTTTGGAGGGAGTACAACTGATCATATTGAAATTTTTATTACAGACACGTCGAAGTATTTTTTTTTTCAAAGGTAGAGTTAACCGTTTTCATTGCTGACTTTCGTGTCCGAATTTATTGGATTCTAAAAGTGTACTCCCTGATTTTACCTCCGAACTTGTACGTATTGTTCCTATAAAAAAGTAAGAGTTCCGAAAAACCTCAAAACTATCTGTGACATGTAGTCTTAAGTATCTCGACAAAAAATGAATTTTCAGTCCAATTAAAAAATCTTGTGTTAACTTAAATACGTATTTTTTAAGGAACTGTTTGTGATTTTCGTCTTGGTTATGGAAAAGTTCTTTCGAGAAAATCGAAAATTATTATTGTTAATCGAAATTCTACTAGTTTATATCAAGTAAGACAAAATATAAAGGAGTATCAAGAAAAAAAATTCTATTATATTTAATTATAGAATAGTGATGTCTTTTGGAAACCAACATTAGCTATTGAAGGTGATCCAGCTGATTTTATTGTACGATTAAATAAATATTTATTAGAAAAAAATTATAAATGTTCTAATTCATGGATTGAAACTCTTCGAAATAAAGATAATATTAAAGAAGAAATCAATCGGTAGTGATAAATATTTCTGTTTTTTATTTCAAGGAGAAAAAAGAAATTCGATGATTTTAGAAAAATGGGATTGGAACCAACAGAAGATCATTTAAATCCAGTACATGTTTTACAAGAATTAGAAAATCAATTACCAGATAATGCTATTTTAATTGGCGATGGTGGAGATTTTGTAGCTACAGCTGCTTATGTACTTCGTCCACGAGCACCATTAACTTGGTTAGATCCTGGTGCATTTGGCACATTAGGTGTTGGTGCAGGATTTGCTTTAGGTGCAAAATTAGTTCGACCTGAAGCAAGTGTTTGGATTGTCTATGGTGATGGTGCTCTTGGTTATAGTATTATGGAATATGATACATTTATTCGACATAAAGTATGTGAAAATTCTATTGATTTATAAAATGATAAATAATATTTACTTTCGTTTTCTTTTTGCTAAGATACCAATTATATCAATTGTGGGTAATGATGCTTGTTGGAGTCAAATTGCTCGTGATCAAGTTCCATTATTAGGCAGTATTGTTGGATGTTCATTAGAGGTTAGATTATATATATTTAAATGAATCAGAAAAAAAAAGAAAATGAAACTAATTCAAGTTCATTTCTAATGTTAACTTCAGCTTATAACAAATGATCGGAAAGTTTTTACACGAGATGTTTGTTCAATAAGTATTGTTGAGGCGTCAACAATTCTAAATTAGAATGCTCTTTTCGAATATAGACTTAAAAGTTTTGACTCAGTAAAGTAATTTTTGAGAAGCCCGATAAAGCTACGACTCAGTTCAATAACACATTTTGTAGAGAATTGTTCGCTCTACAAAGCAACCAATTTCGACAATTTCTAGCACTTCTAAAAGGGATTTCTAGGCTAAACAACAACCTGTTGGCTCAAGTTTTTCAACAAGTCTCTCATTATTCTTGAAGAAAAATAGACATAACATGTCTAAACCCATATTTGAAAAGAGTATCTAATTCATAGCTTTTGACTCGTCGGAAATGCTTTTTAACAGATTAAAAGCAAATAAACATCTTGAGTAAAAACTTTTCGATTACCAGTTACTCTGTTTATTATTGAAAAAACAACACGAAAGAAAAACAAAATTATTATAATCATAGCAACTACTATTTTTTTTCCTTCAAGCAGACACATTTCGAAAGGTTACTATGCATTTACTCAAAAGAAAAACATATGAAGCCTTTGTAATATAAAATTGTAGATGCATAAGTTACATACTTTACCTAACTCTTGGGCAAAGCACTACCCCAATTAAATCTGTGTTTCAATGATCTGAAATCGAATTCTTCTTGTAATAATATTTGGGTTCAAAATGTTTCAACAAATGAAAGCGCTGTGAAATTTCCGATTGGAGAGTTTTCAAAAATGAAACTCAAGTTCATTCCTGTAAAAAAAACATAGACTTTCGTCAATTAGAAACATATTGCTTGTAGTATTAAGAATATTTTTGAATTTCTAGAAATGCAGTCGAATGATGAATAACATTTTTCTCATTGCTAAACGTCTGTTTTACATGAATACATACTAAGATTTTGAGAATATACTTTTCAATTGTTCTGCCTTTTTTTTTGTCTTCATGAATATGTATCTGTGAATTAATAATTCATAATGCATTCTCTATTTTGATTATGAATATAAACATATGCTTTTGTTTTTATTTTTTCAAAATAGTTTTCAAATTATGACAAAATAGTCGAATCTTTGGGTGGTATTGGTTTTCGACTTGATCGAACAAATGAAAATGAAATGATTAATATATTTAAACAAGCTAATGAAATTAATCAACAACACCGAAAAAGTGTTCTTATTAATTGTCTTATTGGAAAAACAAATTTTCGCCAAGGCAGTATATCAGTTTAATGTTTTTTATTAGTTTTTCTTTGCGCAGTATTATCATTTGCATTCGTGTATATGTTTTAAACATAAGTTAATATAAAAAGACAAACAAATCTATACTAAAGTATTATGTGTAGTAGCTCGCCGTGACCAATGAACTAATGATTTTGATTTTTTAAGTTGACGTTCAATAGGTTCTGTAATAGAGAAAAATCAAATTAAATTGTTTGATTATTTTAACTAGATGAAAACTTACTAGAAATTATTATTGGTTTAGAATAACCATCTGGCAAAAGTTCATTCATGTAATCTTCTCGATATAAAGCATATTTAATTGTCTAATCAATAAAAAATAAAAATATGAAAATTTTTATGGAAAGTTAATTTACTAAAAATGCTGATTCAGATTGTAATTGTTGTAAACGATTCGAAGTTTCATTTAGTTTTGTTTCATTTGCTTTTGTTTCATCTAATTGTATTTCATTTGACTTTGTTTCATCTGTTTTTGCATCATCTAGTATAGTTTCATTTGGTTTTGTTTCATTTTCGGATATTACTGTTCGATTTGATTGTGCACTACAACAAGTACTACTTCGAGTAATCATTGGTGTTACAGATGTAAATGAACAATATGATATAGGACGAGATTGACGAAGACCTATTTTAAGTTTATATGTTTATTATCTGCTTTGTAAGAAGTAATGCCAATTTACTTGAGGATAATAAATGTGATCGCGATGAACAAGCACTTCCAGCTCGAGATTGTTTTAATGATGATATACTTGCAGATAATTGTCTTTGAAGTTGAGCTTTTCGCATAGAAGCTATATTAGTCTTTTAAAATAAATTATTTTTTGAATAGAAATAATTAATAGATTTTCGTAACTTTTTTTGTCACCTGATATTGATGAGCAATTTTTGCTGGCCATACTGAATTTTCAATAATTTTTTGTTTAGAAAAATTTTCTTGTAAAAACCAATTACGTTCATCACGTAAATAATTTGTATTTAATTCATCCATCATTTGTTGATCAATAGATTTCGGATCAGCTAAATCAATAATCTATAATAGAGAGAGAATGAAAAAAATAAAGCAAAGTTTAATAGAATTTGAAAAGAAAACTTTTATTTATACTTTTTTTGAAGATAATTCTATATTGTTATTATCACGATAACAAATTAATAGAAGATCAAAATATTCACATAAATGTAATATTCTTGAATTATTTAAACGATAATGATGTAAACATCGTTCAAGTTTTAAAACACTTATGCGACAATCACAAAACTATTTTAAACAAATATCAAAATGAGATTTTAAATTTACAAAAATTGTTTTTTTTTCTTATTACCTTAATTGTTCTTAAAATCAGTTCGAAATTTCTTTTATCATTGCTTGATACATTCATTTCATATATATTAAAAGCAAGACGAGCTTTCAATATTTCATTAAAACTAGTCAAATAATGATTAATTGAATATAAATATGAATAAATTCTACCTAAATAAATGTGAATCAACTAATTGAATAGCCTTAGCCAAAACAACACTATTATATCGACCACTGTGACTATTATACATATAATAAAAATCATTAACAAATACACCTTTTTCAATTAAATCTAATAATTCCTAATACAAACAAAGAAAAAACTTATATCATTATTAATGGATGTTAAAAAAGTTCTTGGACAAATGTCAGACCCAGCTCTACTGAAAATGAAGCCCATTTTTTGTTTTTTTTGTTAGATAGAGCATGATCTCTTCTTTGAAACGAAGTTACTGATGCCATAGTCATAGAATAATTTTTCATGCTTTCAAAATTACTAAAACAACTAAACCGTAAAAGGTTTTATTGGTTAATAGAGCTGTATGCCGATGGATTGATTGAGGGTGGCAGCTGCTCATTCGACCGGCATACGCTCTAGTGGTAAACAAATAGTATATCTCAACAACAGCATACAGTTTTTATACTAAAATGATGTCTAAATTATATATGTACTTCAATTTTACTTCGAGAAAAAAATTAACTTGAATTCTGAAAATTATTGTTGGTATGAATTTCTAAATTTTGTCCAAGAGAAAGTTTCATAGTTTTAACTATGGGACTAGTTTCGAGCAAACATTTCAATCAATTTTTTCTACATATTTTTGCTGTCGGGAAATAGTTCTTTCTATTGTAGTCGATCTTCTTCTAATTGCCTATTAAGAAGCGATACAGTCAGTGATAAAGTTTTCGAACAATTGATACTCATGTTTCCAAAACATAAAATATTCTATAGGAAACAAATAATAATAGTCGAACCTTACGATAATTTTTTTGAGTCGATATTAACGTTTATTTAATCCGTAAATGTCAATCGAAAAGGCTGAGTCTTTAGTGAAGCTATTGATTTTTTCCGACAAAGTAAAAGCTTAACCGAAGAAATTCACAGCGTTTTTGTTTTACATTTTTCGACTAGCTGTCGACAAAATATTTCGATTTAAAATCGAGATCATGTTCAATGTAGTAGAAAAGAATATTAAAAAATGAATTTCCTTTCACTTTCTGTTTTAAATACGATTGAGTCTAAGATTTGTCCAAGGAAACTTTGCAATGTCTCCATTGTTTAATAAATCTTACTGAAGTTTTAATTGTTTCTCCTATTTCAAGTTTATTTAATCTTTTATCAATGCGTTCTTCGGGTAACTATAAAACCATGTTTGTATTGAAATAGATCTTAAACATAAATTTAACTCACTCCTAATGCTTGAGCCAACATCCTAAATGAATATAAAAGAAACTTAGTAGAAATTAAAAACTATTCATGTACCTTATTTCTCGTCGATTAAAAACTCCGTATGTTTTGTTATAATGACATGTTTTATCAGACATGATTGTACTTTTTTTTTGTAATCAGATTAACATTAACAAGAAATAAAGTTTTTTTTCTCTATCCCGTTTCGTTCTGCTGATTTCGTTTTTTTTTGTTTTTTCAAAAAAAAAAACTTTTTTTTTGTGGGTCAAATAACAACAACGGTGCGGAGGATTGGTTGTACTACAGACTTCGTCATTCGTTTTTTTTTCTTTACTTTCTTTTATTACATCCAACAACATTGAAAATATTTGAAGACGACCTTCATGTTTTTTAATGTAATTTACATTTCAAATCTACATGTGGAAAATGTTTAATTTAAATGCAACAAAAAAACATCATAAATATTTGAATAAATGTAATGAAGAGGAATGAAGAAAATTGATTAATGAAAGTTTTTATTTAATACAAACTCGATATACACGGAATTGCATTAGAAATTAAAAAATAAACAAAGATTTAAATAAATATCAAGAATATATGTTAAGTACTATCATTTCCTGAAAGAGTCAAACTATTGTGTTTGTTGTAGATAATCATTAGATTCGTAAACTTTGTTGGATTTTGGTTTGCAGTTAGTGTTACAACAAGAATATAATTATAATCAAACTAGAATACTACGATTTGACATTTTCATTTCATCAACTATCTGTCGGCAAATAAAAAACAAGCAAGATGACAATGTATATTAGACGAGACATAATTAGAGTTTTTTTTCAATATCTCTTAAATTTTCTCATTTTTTTACTGTAGATTAATTTGAAGCTATTTGTTTTGTATTTCTATGCGCACGAATGAAATAGTGTTCTTTATACTTATTTATGATTGCAACAGAGACTTGGTTTCATTAGATATAGTAGTAGACAAAATTTTTTGTACGACTTTCAAATCAAATTATTCTTCTTTGGAAATGTTTAGACAAAAAAAACAGAAACCATACAGACGAATAGAAGAAAAGGCAGACTAGATTTTCAAATCAAATTACTTTTCTCTAAAACTGTTCAAAACTTTCTGCGAAGTAAATTGCTTACTTCAAGGTAGAAATGACAGAATATATCTAAGATCATAGCTGAAAAAATCTCTTCGCATAACATACGGAAATGCTGAACTGCCCTGTGTATCACGTCATATCTACTGTAAAGGAGGCCAGTTACTTCATAGAGAGTTCTTCTATGAAAAGTTTCTTTGTTTTTCAAAATCTAGTCTGCCTTTTCTTCTATTCGTCTATATGGTTTCTGTTTTTTTTTTCTAAACATTTCCAAAGAAGAATAATTTGATTTGAAAGTCGTACAAAAAATTTTGTCTACTACTATATCTAATGAAACCAAGTCTCTGTTGCAATCATAAATAAGTATAAAGAACACTATTTCATTCGTNTTATGAAAATATCTCAACTGATTTTCCAGGTGGATTATTTCGATGTGTTAGTGAAGTATCTTTATTTGACGAACATCCTTTTGAATATGAATGTTCAATATCTTCATTTGTTGGTAAATCAATTTGATCTTTTAGCAACATAGTTGAACGAATATTAAACCTAAATTGATTTAATCGTCGCATATAAACAATGATATTTTGCTTTAAATCATTTTCATCAATAAATTTCTTATCACGAACCATCGATGACAAATACAAAGCAAGTTCTTATAAATTTGACATTCGATGTAAAAGTGGTATGATTACGCTATCATAGAAACGGATTTCAGAAAAACAATACAATGAAAAACATCGTAAATTTGGGAGTTTTCCCTAAAAAAAAACAGAATAAACAGATATTAGTAACGTTTAATAAAAACTTACTTTATTTATTTTGAAGCCGGAATTAGGAAATGAACATTGCACATCTACATAGAACGTTCGAAGTTGATTGAAACGACCATCAAGTAAATAAAGACAATCATCAACCGAGACAACTTTGACATGTAATTCTAATAGAGTGGATGAAAAGACAGTTGGAGGTGAATATCCGAATGAGATCCGTTGAGAAGAAACAAACGATGAATGAAACTTTAAATATTGTAAATTGATAAAGGTATTTAAGATATGTGTAAATATACGTGTATTAGCATCTCTTGATCTATATAGTTTTCTAATAGATTCAATAACGAGTGATGAAATTTGATTTTTCAACATATACATTAAAGAAGTTTCATCTAAAAATAAATACAAAATTATTGTAAAAAAGCTGTGTCGCGCAACTCCTGGGGAATTAAAATGCGAAAGACGATGAAACTGCTCCCAACGTAAATGAGAAAATCTACGAACATATCTGTCAACGTCTATGACATTTCTACAGTTAGGTCTGCCATGGGCCGTTGCTAAGAATGTCAGTCACGTTTGTGATGTGTCGTTATTAAGAATATCTGCCATCGTCTGTTACGAGTGACACTGCTAAGGTATCGGTCACGGTATGTGATAAACCGTTTCTGATGTCTCTCATGTCTGTGGAGGAAGGATAGTGAGTCCAAATTTTCTGGCCTATACTTCAAAATTCCTTTTAGATCGTGTTTCACAAAAGATTATTCTTTTCTTTTTATAAACAAAAATATAAATGGAATGTGTAATCATCTAACTAAATCATTTGAATTTTCATCTATTTTAACCTATTAATTCTTAAAAGAATTGAAATAAAAATATCTTACCAGTAAATAGATCTAAATCAGTCTCTTTTTCAATGTTGATATACCAAGTCCAAATAAAATCGGATAATTTGCAGAAAGAATACGTTTCATAGATGATACTTCAAGATCAATCCATTTGATTTCATTATGAATCGAAGGTAAAATTTGGAAACAAAATCGATCAAGCATTAAATCAGGTAATGGATAAATATTATCATACGATAAATGATTGAATAATGTCAAACTACTAGTAAACATAGAATCATGCACAATGTTATTTAGTCGTTTATTAACACCTATCAGAGAGTAGAGTAGATCCGTATTGTTTAAGTTTTTGAAAATAATCAAAAGAATTTCATCAGATAAATCATTCAAGTGAACAGATGAATATTCCATGTTGATCTATATCTATGTATATTTTTCTTATCCTATAAATATCAATAATTGTACGTTTTATATTTATAATGACTCGTTCTATTTGACCGATATCGTCAATAAAAACAGTGATTCTTTTTTTTCTATAGTGTAATGACATAAATAGACAATGAATGAATGAATGAATGACATTATTCCTTCTCTTATGCCATTCGTCACCTTTATGAACATTTTCTTAGTCAGTGAATTTGAAGTACGACAGATGTTTTATTATATTTCGAATGATGTTCATATCCTGTATATGTCTGTCTATCATAATATTGACAATTACTTGTTTTCTCATTGCAATCAATTACTTAAAGAAATACGTATTGAATATTAATTTCATTATTTGTTAGCTACAAGCAATTGTTTCAAGCTAAAATACTCAAAAATATTCCTAAAACAAATCATTTTCATGTTTTTTTTTATGAACAAATTGGGGTTATGAATTAATAATTTGAATAAAATGAAATATATAGATTATTGATTATTTCTTAGGTTGGATATATTGTACACTATTAGAATCGGTTTTTTTTTATAAACAAATATTCACTTAATAAGGACTATCAAGTAGATATTTGTTGTTTGTTATTCAGATAAGATTAATCATAGAATCCGCTTTATCATTTCTCAGGGAAACATTGATGAAAAATAAGAGACCTTTTCCCGTGAGAAACGCTAAATACGGCTAAATCACGAATTAAATCATCATTTTCTAGAGACATGTGCTTGACTGTACGTTCAAATCTATACGTCCTTTCGTGTACGTTCTTTTCTCTACATCCGAATGTATACATCTTATTTACATCCATATTTCGTGTCTACTGTCTATCATCCATCTCTTTGTGAGGAACGGTTGGTTTTTAATCTTTTTTTATATAGCTTTTTTTGCCTATTAGAACAGCAGTCACGACCGGTTTCGACCTTGCTTAAGGGTCTCATCAGGTGGCATAGTTCTAGTTCTCTAACTAAGAGTTGAACATTCGGTTTTTGTCGTAGCCCTTAGGGTTATGATGAATTAAATAATGCCACCTGATGAGACCCTTCAGCAAGGTCGAAACCGGTCATGGCTGCTGTTCTAATTGTTTACTCATTGTTGTTCTCATAAGTAGCGACAAAATAAAAAATAAAATACTTTTTCTCACTTCGTATTCGGCATGAACAACAGATGAATTGTACACGTATTACACAGATTCTTGATAAAAATCAATTCTAAGAGTCGTAAGATTTTCACGCGGTCAACACCAACGATAGAAAGCTAAGTGATTGTGTTTTGCATGTCTCTTGAAGAACTCGTCTCGCCTTTTTTTAATTTTAATAGCTGTTCGTTCACATGTTTAGAACAAGACCAATAATTAACTATCGCGTGCTGTGATAGACCAATTAGGGACAGACAGTCTTCGTATAAGGAAATTAGTCTTATTAACGTATTATTATCTCAAAAGCAGTCTTGTTCTTATCCCATGTCGCTCGAACCGGTAAAAACCGTAGGTTAACCGCGGTTTACCGTTCGGTCAACTGAGAGGTTAGCCGTGGTTAA